GTTACCTTGTATATAAATAGCGTGAAATTGTTCGACACATTCGATAAATGTTTCTCGCGGCGAAGTATCCGGCGGGTTCTTTTTTATCGAATTTATTTCGCAATGCGCTCGTATATTTCCGGCAATTAGCGACACCGACTTAAATGTGCACTGATAAAGTAAACTCGATCTCACTCCTCCTCACTCCAGTGAGAATTTGCAGCGCATTTTTTTGCGAGATCGAGGAACATTGGCTATAACGCGGATAACGCGGCAATTGCGACAAACTCGACACCACACACTCGTTTGTAGTAAATAAACATAGAAATGATTTACGTCACATCTGCGAAGCGTTCGAGACAGCACGAGACGTCTCTCTCTCTCTCTCTCTCTCTCTCTCTCTCTCTCTCTCTCTCTCTCTCTCTCTCTCTCTCTCTCTCTCTCTCTCTCTCTCTCTCTCTCTCTCTCGATAGTCATAACGAAACTTGAAATCTCTTTTTTTTCGCGAGCACATGAGAGATAACGCGCGAGATAACGCACGACGAGATGCCGAGAGATGCGTCAGTGAAATGTGAATTTAAAGTACAAAACGCAGTCGCGCAGTTTATTCGCGTTACATCGAAGAGTTCCGCAATGTTCAGAGACAAAAACTCGCTCCCCAACGGGCGGAGAGAAAGCCCGACGACCGGCCCGACGACCGGCGATACATAAACAAACGGAGTTGAATAATAATTGACGTAGCGCAACCTGCGCCGTTAGCGTTCTCCGAGAGCGAGCGAGCGAGCGAGCGAACGCGACGATCGAATGGTAACGTCGAAGTCACCGTGAATCGCTTCATTCAGTCCCCGTTTTCGCGCGCGAGGGAAGAAGTAAATTTGTTGACCGATAATTAGCGCAGGCTAACTAACGGCGCCCACTCCGCCGCGCCGCGCCGCGTCGCGTCGGGAGAGCAACGAAGGCACCCTCGCGCTCTCTTGCGAGAGCAATAATTTAATATATACGCGTGGACGGGCACACGTTCTCGCAGGTGCGAAGTGCCTGCCTGTGAGCGCCAGGATACAGAAATAGGTGCTGTGTACGGTCGAACGTACGTACTTACGTACGCACATAATCGCGCGAGCGTGTTACACGCTCGGTATATGTACCAGGCGGGTACGATCGGGCGACGACGACGACGGCGGCGGCGGCGGCGGCGGCGGTGGCGATGATGACGACGACGACGACGACGACGACGACGACGACGAGCACGACGGGCCCGACTGGAGAGCCAGGGTCCCGCTATCCGGTCGGCCGCTAGGCCGAGGTGAACGAACCTGAGCCCGCCTACTGACTTTACCTGCCAGCCTCGAAGAGAGCCCGGCCAGGCTATCTCTTCGTGAGCGAACACGAGGAGCAAGCCAGAAAAAAGAACGACCGTCGGAGAACGGAGACAGCCCTCTCGCTCGCACTGTGAGAGTTCCCTCCTCACCTACAAATTTATTCGACGCCTCGCACCCGGCCACGCGACGACGCTACTTAACCGCCGGCCGTTGTTTTCCAACGGGCGCCCGGTGAGGCCTCCTTCGATGCTCGACTTCGGAGATATATTGAAAAAATGACTTGGTTCGTTTCGCGAGCGAGGCCGGTGGTGCACACGAGTGTCTCTCTCTCTCTCTCTCTCTCTTTCGACACGTTGCAGCGTTTGTAATTTTTCAGATATTACATGTATGAGAGCTAAAGCACGCTCTCTTTTGATTTTCAGCAACATTTCTTTTTATTTATAAAATAACACACTTGGGGCAAATGACGATATGCAACTGTCACTTTTTCTTGATGTTGCCCATTGTCTCGACTGTCGCGCGAGAATAAATCCGATACGCTTCGACGTAACAATCAGTCAATTGTGCGTGGCAACGTCACGTCTAGACGCCGACGCGAATAAAAACACGGCAAACGTGTGCATAACTATTAAGCCGCTGAAGAACGCCGGTAAAAAGAACGCGAGATTTCACCGTGGATACTGCAATTAATATTATTATTTATAAATAGCGACCCGGTCTTCCCTCAGCGGAGCGCGCCGTCGCCGATATTTTATAAGAGTCCATTACTTGCAACCTTTTCACTTGTCACGTCACAATAACGCTGTTACATTTTCTTTCCTCCTGCCGTGCACGTTTTTACGGCAGTCCGTTCTTTCGACAATCGACGGCCGTTGTCTATTCGCCAATCGTGGCTTCGTGAGTTTCCGCCGATGCCGCTATTCGATTTCGTATTCAGGAAACGTCGTTTCCTCCGACCGCGAAAAAGAGCTGCCGCCTCGCGAGACTGAAATGAAATTTTTTCTGGGAAACTGCGGGAAAGGTGGGAACTGTCGCCTCGCAATATTTAACTTAGCAATTAAAAATTAATTAACGTCCAAATCCGTCTGCATCCGCTCTTTCTCCCTCTTTCTTTCTCTTATATATATTCTCTTTCCTAGAGCGTCGATCGTAAATCAGTGTGACCTATAAAAGTTCCACGGCGTCGATTCCTAATAACGGGACTCGAAATATAATCGTCGAGATGACGAACTGTACAAATGCCAGGAGAGGTTAGATCACGTTATTTTATTCAAAGAACGAACCAACTGTGCATGGTACAACATCGAGATCGACTAATTGATCGGGCGAACTTGATATTAAAAGTTGCAAAGCCGCGTCTAATCAGATTTTTATTAAGGAGAGATCAGATCGGCTCTACATACGCCAACGAATCGCCGGCTCCTCGAGGGAGAAAGAACTTTCTCGCCTTCTGCGCCCACTACGGGAATCAGAGCTTGCAAACTCGCGGCGCTCTCGAGTACGAAGGTCGTTTCGTTGACCCACTGATTCGTTCCACTTGCTCCACCCACGGCCCGCAATGACGTATACGAGCTTTTTGTAATTATGGGATGTCCGGATGTCAGAATTATTGAGAGATCGGTAGAAATTGGCCGAGAGGATTCGACACTTTGCGAGAGAGGAGCTTTCCTTACTTCGTTGAAGAAATAAACGACACAGTTATCTTGATTGCTAGATATTGATCCAGCGTATTATTTCATTGCTGTATCGATTTATTATTGTTATCGTCATTGCCTATATATTGTGCTCATTGTTGCTAATGTTGTTAAAAATTGACAGGATAAAAATGAAATACGTACAATCAAAGAGATAAATTAAATGAAAAGGAATCGTTAACGTACGAAATCCACCTGTTGAATTACAAGAAAGACTCACCGATCGAGTTGATAAACCTTTAAATGGCCGACATATACACGCTGAATTGAGTAACGAGTTCATCGTGGAGGTCAGAGATTTAATTTAGCCAATCGTCAACATATTGATATTTACCCTCTGACGCTGCCGACATTATCTTCATGGTTGCGTGTATCACGCACGTTGAATGTAAGTGTGAGTGGCCGTGTAAACGAAAAAAAAAGCTTCTTATTATTGTCGCTCGTGAAATTATTTCGCGCCGATTGCAACGTATCGCTCGCTCCTCACCAAAACAAACCGCTGTTTATTTAATTACAACTCTGTTTCAGATTCCAGATTTTGTACTGAAAATGAAACAGAGGAACGTGGAAATTAGAATACAATTTTTTTTATACCGCGAATATTGAGTTCCTCCTACAATCTTTAATGTAAATCTGATCTCAGCGAGATTCTGTCATCATGGTAAAATTTATCTTTTCCTCTTTTTCAGACATTTTTGTTTAACTTGATATGAATTCATGTGACCATTGTTTGAAATTGTCCAACATCTCCTCGATATTTCCCCCCATAGAAAGACAATTGTATTTTCCAGTTGTTATGTTTTTACACTTTCTAAAAAATTTCACAACCTACGATTTTTGGAAATTATACCGAAAATGATTACCGAAGAAATATATATTTTTTAAATGACCAAAGTTTCTCGCCACACACACACACACACACACACACACACACGCACACACAAGTAACTCGCCAGAATAGAGATATTCTTGTCTCTGAATATTAATTAAAATACTGAAAAGATTATACATCTGCATAAAAAGGGCGCCAGTAGAGAAAATGTATAAACGTGGAAAAAGTATGAATACCAAAGTAGAAAATTCGGCGATACTGTCGACTTCCTCTCGAAGTATCTCTTCCGCGAAACCGGTTTCCGCCTCCTCTACCTTCTCCCACCCCCCGCAAACACCAGAAAAAAGTAAACGTAACCAATTGCACCACGGTAACGATGAACAGCTAGTCAAGCTGGTATTCAAGCTGACAAAAAAAAATCGGACCAAGATTGACCTTGGTTCCGTTGGACAGTAGCTCCAATCTTCAGCATAAAGATTTCCGCGGAACAAATTTGTTTAGAAGAAAAGTATTTATTCCCGCTGCAGCAGCATCTCCTACTATCATCTCTCTCTTGTATAATATTTAAATAGAGATATCGTTTCAGAAATTCTACGCCGGACTTGTGCGCTGAACGTAGTCTCTCTACCTAAAAAGCTCTTTTTTAAATTGAATATTAAACTGAAATTGAATAAAGAAATGATTTGTTCGGTTATTTATTTTATTTATTATCTTGGGTATAGTGCAAATAAAATCTGCGTTGTAAACATACTTATCTCATTTGAATTTTGTAACTCGTATCGCGCACCGAGTGAATCACCGAGTTGTCGTCAAAAGTACATGCCGTACAAAGTACAAACACCTTTAAACCTACCAAATTCCGTTATCCAGAGATTAAGAGAAACAATTATGATGACGGAGAAACGTGCGAGTTTAAATGAATCATTCGCGCGGTTACGAGGAAATTCGCTCCAAATTCGAAGTAAGCCTTTACTTCACGCACATACTATTTAAGAAGTATCCTGTACGTGTGGACGCAGAGGACGTACTTCGACGTGCGGAAAATTAGTGCGGAAGTAATTTAGTGACATGCATTTTCGTAATGAATAGGCTGCTTTCCTGGCGAAAGCGGATCCCTCGACGGCAAAAAAGTCGCAAGTTTAAAAGAGCTGCGAGACGCACGCGGAGGGTACTCACCCGATCTAATGGCCGTGACGTCAGTAACGCAGAGGAGGACGGCGAACGCCGCCACGACGGCGAACGTCGTCCTGGTAGTCCATCGCGCCTTGGGCAGGACGAAGTCCTGGGCAATTCCGGAAGCGCGTTCACCACCGGAAGGGCCAATGCGTGGCCGCGCAGCCATCGCACGCCGTCGTGTCTCTCCTTTTATTTGTCCCGCTCTCTCTTCCTCGCGCTCTCTTTCACCCGCACTCTCTCGGGGGAGAAGGGGTATCACAGACACGCACTTTGCACGCAGGTGTATGTCAAGTGTGTAGTGTGCGAATTCTCCTGTGATCTTCACTTCCGCCGGATCCCCTGAACGTAGGTCGCTAATTTGTCCCACGCGCAAAGATGCGCGCGCGCAGAGAGGCCGAATGCAAAATGTGTAACGGAGTAAATTAAAAAAAAAAAATAAAAAACGAGACTACGCGGCACGAGCGAGCGCAATTTAATTCATGGCTCATGCGTGCAGCATGAACGCGGTCGCAGCCCGCGAGCGACTGACGCGCGGCGCGCCAGACGAATCGAACATGGCGCCGTCACGTCAGCCATCCCCATTCGCCGTGGCGGGGATGGTCGATTCTTGTTCGTCGCCGGGGTTGGTACAAAAGAACGCGCGAGATGCGTTCTAATTTAAAATTTTCGGGATGTTCTCCCGGCTGCTCTGGCGCGAAACTTATCGACAACTCGAGGAATTAAATGAATATTTATGTTAAAGTGAAATATTGTATATTTGAAATGCTATAACAGTGTGTTATATATTATATTTACGGTCCCATTATTGTTGACGCTTCGGTAAACCTCCGGAATCGGCAAAACATAGCCAAAGGAATGCTTGTATCTTCGGATAGTGAAATGAGCGACGCATAGTTTCCTTATTTCCCTTTAAAAGATCTTTCCTTATTTTCCAGTTAAAAGATCTTTGGATATATATATATATATATATATATTGTCAAGCTTCGTCGGTCGTGAGAATAGTGGGAAACTATACATTCTCCAAATGGCCTTAACAACGATGTCCGCCTTAATCGGTATCTCTCAGCGCATCTCTGATTTTTATTGTCTAAGCTTGTACCCATTTGTTTGTAATTAAAACAAGTTTGACAACTTTCATTTTTAATTTCACATCTCGCTTCGGCATGTGTCTATCTATTTACTGTCTCTCTCTCTCTCTCCCTCTCTCTCTCTCTCTCTCTCTCTCTCTCTCTCTCTCTCTCTCTCTCTTTCTTTTCTCAAATAGCTCGTTTATAAGTGTAAGTTTATATCGTATGGGATTCCACTTTGTTTGTGCCACAAACTGTTGTCGACGCATATGTCGTCTTATATTTATAAGCCTGCAATTTGCATATCTTTAATGCATGTTTCTCTGGACGATCGAGTGGCTATTATTCGCAACTTGCGTCATGGCAGATCTGGATTCTCGGAGAGTCTTGGACTCTCTAAGCGCTCAGCCTTGAGTGGCTCGCACACGCTGGTACGCGAATTTGGAAAATTCCGCGATGTAACTGAAAATTGCCAAGCTTCCTCCTTTTACCTCGCGAGGCTTCATTACGCGAGTACGCGAGCGACCGCGATGAAAGACGCGACGATCCGTGTGATGACCGCCCGCGTTCGATGACCGTCTTTAAATCCGGCAGAACGAACATGAGGAAAATTGTCGGAGATAATGCCACTGGTTGACCTTGGTACCGTCTGACGAAGCGCATTTTCAGACAAACTGGCTTAATCGACATGCGTCATATTAGACATCGTCGTGTTCCATTACGGAAGTCGAGGTACTTTGAAGAGTAATTATCGCAATGATAGTAAAAACCTTAATTTGATAATGGATCTGTTTTCATTGCGCTGTCTGCTCGTGCTTTTTCTCCGTCTGATATCAGGATACATATATGTTCCTGGTTTCTTGATTTCTTAAATTAAGATCTTGGATTTACGCACACAGATTACTCACAGATTCTTCGATTCCTGCATTTGGATTCACATAACTTCGCACCGTTTTTGAAATTCTAAATTTTCCCATTAATACTCGTTAAAAAGGTATCTTATATTTAGGTGAGTTTTAGATAAACTCTTTGCTTCTTCAAATTTCGGACCGCAATATCCCAAATTTTTTAATTCTTTAATTTCTATATTTTGCGGCTCGCAAACCTTTCATATTTCCTGGTAGTGCGGGCATTATATTTTGACCATTCGTCAGAATTCTCACCATTATGTCAATTCTCTCACTTCCTCCTAGTCGTAACCTCTCAAGTTCTTCACGTTCGGTCTCTCAAGTTCAGATTCCTCAGAGCTCGGGTGACGCAGAATTTCAAATTATCACTCATTATCGCTCCTTTTAAAGACGACCATTTCGGGCAAAATATACTTGTCATGTCGCGCACGCGTTAGGATTAGGGTTAAGCCAATCATTGGATCACATCAACGAATACGACTACTCTGCGCATGTTGCTCAGCCATCCGCCCTTTCGCGGGGATTCCCCGTTCCGCGCCTCGCGAAAAGATTCGTGCCCATCCGTGCCTTTCGACTCGGCTCGATACGTTGCGCATTTTCTCGCGAACACGTTTATTAGCGACGAACGCCGCAAATGCCACAGCCGCTGCGGCGGCACGACCTTTTCCATTGTCCCGCGACGTAAATGCGCTCGCCCGCTCGCTCTTGCTCGCTCGCTCGCTCGCTCGCTGGGTATCATACAGCACTCAAGTCCGGAGCGACTCTCTGCCTCTAAGACATCCGGATCTCTCCGGATTGCTAAATCGGCTCTCCTCTCTAGACTAGTACATATTAGTAAAGTACGTCAAATAAAATCGAGTAGTAATGTTGAGGTTCTAGATGCGTAGGCGACAGGATGCCTCTCACACCTTTACCGAGCTACCTTTCATCTGCAGTTCCTTTAGATATAGGTGATGATCCTTTTCTCTACCATCGAATCTCAACCTCTTCTTAACCTCCTTTTCTCACAAGAAAAATAATAGAGGCGTCCAACGCGTCTTGAGTTATAAACGATTGAAAGCACGACACGTCTTGGGAACTGAGCTACATCCATGGATAATAAAGTATCTTTCGTTTAATTAAAACAGAATAGATCTATGTGAATGATGAGAGAATAAGTTATCTATTGTCGCGGTGGAACCGGTCAATAACCCGATTGTAACCTACTTAAGCGTTCACTGTTAGAAGTCGGAAGAAGTGATCTGTCGGAGTCGCTACTTCCGATCTGCAATCTGGCCTTGGAGAAATGAGATCGGCGATACGGTCAAAGGTTAAGTCGCAACTTCGCGACGCGCGACATCAACTTCATCCTCGTCGCTGTTAAGTCAGCATGGATGTACGCGTGCGCACGAGTTGCGTGCGCGAGCGAATAGATGAAGGATAAACGAGACGAACGAAGAGGGAACGAGAGAGAGAGAGAGAGAGAGAGAGGGAGAGAGAGAGAGGGAAAGAAAGAGAGAGAGAGAGAGAGAGAGAGAGAGAGAGAGAGAGAGAGAGAGAGAGAGAGGGAGAGAGAGTGCGAGAGCTGGAGAACGGAGAGGGAGGAGGAGGGAGAGAACGGGAGAGGGAGATGGTACTTAGTTATTTTGCTCGCGCGTTCGTGGGATTGGGTGTGGAGTTGTATGCGCGTCGGCTGGCTGGTACGGACAGGTACCAAATGCCACAAGGTCAGGACTCGTACACAACGTAGAGAGGCCTGGTGCACGATTCTCTCCTCTTTCGGCTCAGGGAACCTCAAGGACCGCGATAAGAGAGGGAAGAAGAGGGAAGCGCTTCACGACGCCACGCGTCATATTGTCGTGACGAAATTGCCCCGTTGACGACGCCACATTCACAAAAGCGATAACACTATTGTGATACTCGCCGTAATGCCGAGTGCGTATCTTTACGCACTAATACATATATTGCTGCATACACTTTGAAACGCCATTTCTCCGCCATGTCTCTTCATTTCGTTTATTGAAAGAGAAGATAAGACCTATCTTCATAAAATACACACACACACACACACATATATATATATATATGTATATGTACGCGGATGATCTAATAATTATTTATATCTGAAATATATGCGAACTACTTTGGATAAATAAGCTGGACTAAAACTTAACAATTTTACATATACGACTTTCATTTAATTGCGCATTTTTCAGAGGATATTTAAATTTCACTAAGATATTTGTTTAGAATGCTGTGTTCGATACCGATATATTAAAAGAACTCAAATAATTCCCACAGTATAAACAATTTCCTTATTTATACCAACAAATACGTATTCAAATATCGCGGTGCAAAGCGGTACCAGTTGGAAAAGAATTATTGTAAGTTGAGAAATCCAAAAAATTAATTGCCAAAGGTGCACGAATGTTTTAAGATTAGCGTGTTCAGTTGAGAATGATTAAAAAGCCATGCGACCTACCGACATCATCGGAAAGTAATGTCGACGCCGGGTAGGTGTGACGTCAGGAGATTTTAATGCCGGGTCATTATTGCCGGCACGTTGTTTTCACAGGACATTTAACAGATTCATCGCACGACTGTAGAGCCTGAAGACGTTTGATTCTATACTCAACGATACATCATTATATTTTAATCGTTCATATGACAGCATTGCATTGTCAGCTACAATTATTATGAATGCATATATCATTAAAGGAAAATCAACATAACCCAAAGATAGTTGTCTTTCTTTCAGTTTTTCTTTCCTTTTACACAAAGTAACTCTTAAAAAATGTGCTCTCTGTCGTATATACTCTTAGTATGAAAAGTATAAGTTAAGCTTGTTAAATTGTATAAAATACTATTTTTCTAAAATTTGTATTTTTAAAATATTTATATTTTTAGTATCAATATATTTTTCATCAATAAATACCTTTCCTGGAAATCTAAAGATTAGTTCTGCCAACATTCTTTCAAAGATATATTTTGAGGACTGAAAAGTGCCTCTAATAGTATTTGCAACATATAAGTTAATCCATATGGAAGTTGATTGAGGTTAAAAATATAGCGATCAAGAATGTCAAGGCGCCAAATTCCGTTGGCCTGGCGTAGATGACCTTGCATAATAGAGTCAACAGCAAAAAAATACGTAAGTAATACGTTTCTTTTCGACATATTTTGGAACAGTCCAACATCATAAGAAAAATCGCACAATTTTCATTTGCCCTGATACTCGTAAAAGTAAAAAGTATTGCAATCTTTTTGTCGTCAATTATACATATATATGTTGTAAATAATATTAAATGTTTTATGAATTGATTTGTCATTGAATTGTACTATTTGAAAATGAAAAGAATCGTTTCACTCACCGTAAATGCTTGAAAATAATTCTAATAAGCAATAATTCTTATTCTAATAAGAAACAATATATAGGAAATAATTCTTATTCTAGTAAGAAATAATTCTTACAAGCGATCCTTTAATCTGATGTGCTAAATATTAGCAATCCGTTCAAATACAACTAAACCCTACCTGGCGCCATCTAACAGTATCAGAGCTACAATACTATTACACTTAC